ACATCTGGTGAAAATTTCATGTCATTAGCACCTCTAGTAATATATTTACTGAGAAAAATGGTGACGTGTTGAATGCTTATTTTACCCGCTGTAGATAGGTTAGTCAGCTGGTTGCAACAGGTAGGTTTTCAGACAATGTTTCATTTTTGTCCACCCGCTTCAGATGTTATCATCCATTAAATGGACGTTATTAGCCGTTATCAGTCCCATAGAATGGCTTCAGACTGTCAGCTGGTTAATTTGAGGCATAAAGCCACTAAGGTTAATTTTCGAGAAAATGACATTGGCTACGATAAAGTAGACCAGACTCCGGCGGTAGCAGATTGTTGCATTCCAACGTATATGACACTGGTAACCCACTAGGGGGCACTGTTGGGACAGTCTGCAGCCATTCTTTGGGACTGATAACCTGTCAATACTGTGATATCAGTTTCCTCTCCTCTCATCTGTTTTTTTTCCTATCATAACATTGACAACACTCAATTTGCTTTAGAGTTTTGTCCACTCAACTAAATCTGTTGTGGTCATTTAGGATGTATATCCCATTCATCTAGGTGCCATATAAATATATCATTGTATCTCTGATTTATTGTAGTTGTTAGCGATATTGAGAGCACATACACTGAAATTGTAATGACAGTAAATTKTTGATGTATTGTACAGCTCTACTTAAAATTGGGTTAACTATATGTCAGTGTTTGAWATGGAGAGCATCACTGCTGCATTTGACCACGGTTTTCTCTCTGGAAGTTATCTCCCTGCCCTGCTTGATGTGCATTAACTTGGTAAATAAAAAAAACGACTGCCATCTTTGACGTCAGTGCCAGATGATTGACGGGTAATTATCTGGAGATTGGCAAGAGCATTTTGKAAGATGTTCCCATTTGGACTTACTTATCTGCTACACAGACACACATATGCCTTTTGGTTTGTGTCTTGTTTAGTTACAACTACTTGTAAGAAAGAAGTATTTTTTTATGTGGGAGGAGAGAAACGGTCTTGGCAGTAATGGTGGCGTGTAGATGGATCGGACCCAGAGCCTTCAGGGTTTGTAAAYATCAAGATTATGGAAAAAACACAAGCGAGACAACAGGGGAGAGTAAAAGACGCTGCAGGAGGCGGGGTGTAAAGAAGAGCGTGAGTCGATTTTCACCTTGATTTGTCTGAAAGAGAAGTTGCAGTCCTTCTAGTTAATGGTACACCTTTCAGCACCACACAGATTGTGTTCATGTAGTTGTTATTTTTGGCCTCACTAACACCACAGATGACAGGTTCATTGTTTTGATTAATTTTTTAAGCTGCAAACATAACATAATTTAACAAAGAGTTTCATCTAATTTTAAAAACAATCAGAAATCCTCAACTCTATTAGGAGGGCTGTGGTAATTTGGTGGTCAAAAACTGAGGTTGTAGGTTTGAGCCCAGGTTCTGTCAGGAAAGGTATCTGACGTAAACATATTGCTGAAACTTTTGTGCAAATACGCTCACTGTTGTGACGTGCAATGGAGCAGTCAAAGGACCAAACAAACAAACAAAATATAATCTGAACACTGGGTCACATGACCTAAAAACTGTTGATTTTTATTTT